TGCTACATACATAATTACGAGAGCTAATTGAGCGGATTCGTTTGTAGCGTTATTATTAAATTTCCGGGAAACGATTTGAAAATTGGAAATCTGAAATGCATCACTTAACATTTAACGGAACGCGTCCGTTTCCTTCGTCCTTTCGTGTTGTCCTGTAATAATCATCTCGATTTTATTGTTGAAGAACTACAAAAGGATCAAAGGACACAAAGTACACGTTTCCACCAGATATTCTCACGATGTTCACGATTGACTTCCACGGTGAAGGAATAACATCGTGTAATAAAAATCAAACCCGCAAAATTATAATTTGCGTAATTACTGGTGGCAGGACCTTTTGTGAGTCCGTGCGGGTGGGTACCACCACCCTGCCTATTTCTGCCGTGAAGCAGTAATGCGTTTCGGTTTGAAGGGTGGGGCAGCCGTTGTAACTATACTTGAGACCTTAGAACTTATATCTCAAGATGGGTGGTGCATTTACGTTGTAGTTGTCTATGGGCTCCAGTAACCTCTTAACACCAGGTGGGCTGTGAGCTCGTCCACCCATCTAAGCAAAATAAAAATATTATGGCGAATTCTCGTCCGTCTAATGGAGCAAAACAAAACTTTTTGTACATTTAAATTTTTATGACTTTCTTACCTCACTTTTTTAATTATGTTATGAACAGGTAGCATCTATTTTGTAACGAAAATTGCTTCGCGACATAAGCGGAACAGTCATACAGTCTTGCCGGCTTACAAGGTCTTAGCGCTATTAAAACATGAATTAGAAGAACCAGATATGAGTCGTCTATTATCAAAGGCGGCAATCTGTACATTTGGACAAAATTTTTTTATTGATATGTCAATACAGATTTATTTGAATATAATCGTCTCCTTCAAAGAATACGGTTCAAAACCTGCATTAAATAAAGGTTAATAGTTAACCTGTTATTTATCTAAGATGTCGTTCCGAAGAGTTTTGTGACTGCCAATGGAATACAAAGTCAATAATTCGTTTTTCTGATTTACCAATCATTGTCCAAAAGTCAGATTGCCGGCTTTGATAATAGTCGACTCATATAGTNCGACACAATTACATTTTTATAGCTATTATTCAAAATAAAGCAAAAATTATTATTAGATCACTTATTTTTAGTAACGCTTCATCGAAAAGAACAGAATTAGCAGCTCTCACTTGGCGTTTCAAACGTGAATTCCACTTAAACATTTTGAAATGTTTATATGTAACGCGCTTTTATAAATTCATTTGCCGGTTTGTTCAGCAAAAAAAAAAAAAAAGTAATGTGGCTTTTTTACTTATTAACTCCATGGGCTTTTTAGTGCCAATTATTGCTACCCGATTGCGACTGGCGCTAGTTGTATGACAGAAAACTGCAGTAAGCGGTAAGCGAACAATCGCGGTACGTGATACGAAATAATTTGACGTTTTGCGATCGGTCGCGACGCGTCTGCACAACATCTGCAAAATTGTGGCTGTCGCAAATTTTTACGTGATCAGGGGGTCGGTCTTGTCACGAGGTTTTGTCAAACTTGTTTAGTCGTTGAGAAAATGGAATTGACTCGAGAAAATTCAAGAGCGATGATTTATTATGACTTTCGAAGTTGTTTAACACAAAAACAGTGTGTTGACCGGATGATTTCTGCATTTGGTGATGAAGCCCCATCCAAAACCACAATTTATCACTGGTTTGCTGAGTTTCAACGTGGACGTGTCAAGCTCAGTGATGATCCCCGTCAAGGTCGTCCAAAAACTGCAGTCACCCAAGAAAACGTTGATGCTGTGCGTAAGCTGATTGAGGAAGATCGACATGTGACATACCGCGAAATTCAGGCAACTTTAGACATTGGCATGAGTCAAATACAAATAATCTTGCATGAACAATTAGGTGTAAAAAAGTTGTTTTCCCGATGGATACCGCATTCGCTCTGTGAAGAGCGAAAAGCGGCTCGCGTTACTTGGTGCGTCAGAACTCTCGAAAGATTCCACACAGGATCCACAAATGCTGTATACAACATTGTATCAGGTGACGAATCCTGGATATACGCGTACGAACCCGAAACAAAAAACCAGTCACGAGTTTGGGTGTTCGAAAATGAGTTAAAGCCAACAAAAATTGTTCGTTCACGGAGTGTTGCAAAAAAAATGGTGGCCACTTTGTGTCCAAAAAACCGGCCATGTTACGACTATTCCTCTTGAGGGACAAATAACGGTTAATGCAGAATGGTATGCTAGCATTTGTTTGCCACAGGTCGTTTCTGAACTCCGTAAAGAGAACTGCAACTGCCGCATCATCCTCCATCACGACAATGCGAGTTCTCACACCGCGCACAGAACAAAAGAGTTTTTAGAGCAAGAAAACATAGAATTATTAGACCATCCGCCGTACAGCCCCGACCTAAGCCCTAATGATTTCTATATTTTCCCTAAAATAAAGAATAAATTGCGTGGACAGAGATTTTCATCACCTGAAGAAGCTGTGGACGCCTACAAAACGGCCATTTTGGAGACCCCAACTTCCGAATGGAATGGTTGCTTCAATTATTGGTTCCATCGTATGGAAAAATGTGTCAAATTTCGCGGAGAATACTTCAAAAAGCAATAAATACATTTTTAAATAGTAATGTTGTATCACTTCGTTAATTCCCGAAATTTTCAGTGCCGCCCTCGTATACATAAACTATGTATAGACTTTTTGGCGGTAATTCAAGAAGCAAAGTTGTGTGAATTCTTTTACTTTGTTAATGTAGTGTTTATTCAGTCCTAAATGTGTGTTAATGGTTGTTTATTAACTGTTTAATATCTGCAAAAATGCATAAATTGAGAAAATGAACAAGATATCTGGACAAAGTTTCGCAATAAATAACCACTACGTTTTTGAGACTGTTTTTTAATCCCATACCATTTCGTTTGATTTAAGTTCACTCCTATTGATTAATGTTCCAAATTAATCAACTTCATGGTAGTTTCCCAATTACAGAGCATAATACGACTCAGTGGCACACAATGCCGAATTATGCTGAAGCTTAATTGGAACGTGAATTAGTTTTCAAATGCATCAGCAGAGTGCGCTGTTGTTCAGTGTTGAAAAAAATATATTTACGGAGCTAGCAACCTCATTAATGTATAAATAATGTAGGTGAATGAAGTAAGCCCCTCAAAAAAAATTTTTTTTCCTATTTTATACTTATTTTCTATTAATTCGTTTGTTCATCATTTCTTCATGATTGTTCACTGTTAATAATTGTTTGTTCTGCATTTATTTATTTAAAAAAAATATTTAAAAATATACCTACAAGTTAGTCCCTCTAATGCAATTTTTAATATTTTTTCATCCTTAATGACTCGTAAATATTCATTTTCGATTGTTCTTATATAAAACACGTATGTTCTCTTTCGAAATTACTCTTTTTTTGTTTAATTTACTATTTTTATTAGTTGAATAAATGTATGCAAAATATGTGTACTGCGCATGCGTCAACTATAATGCCTAAACTTTCTACGCGGTTTTAATCGTGAAAAAAAAAAACAAATATAAATCCTGAAGGAGCATTTAAATGGTATACAGTTTAATTAAAAAAATAAAAAAATAAATAAATGAAATAATGTGCATTGGCGTTAAGTAGGTAAGGTAAGAGGATGGAAAAAATGTATTTGGTCTAACTTAACGCCAATGCACATAATTTCATTTATTTATTTTTTAATTTTTTTAATTAAACTGTATACCAATTAATTGCTCCTTCAGGATTTATATTTGTTTTTTTTGTTTCACGATCAAAACCGCGTAGAAAGTTTAGGCATTATAGTTGACGCATGCGCAGTACACATATTTTGCATACGTTTATTCAACTAATAAAAATAGTAAATTAAACAAAAAACGAGTAATTTCGAAAGAGAACAAACGTGTTTTGTATAAGAACAATCGAAAATGAATATTTACGAGTCATTAAGGATGAAAAAATATTAAAAATTGCATTAGAGGGGCTAACTTGTAGGTATATTTTTAAATATTTTTTTTAAATGAATAAATGCAGAACAAACAATTATTAACAGTGAACAATCATGAACAAATGATGAACAAACGAATTAATAGAAAATAAGTATAAAATAGGAAAAAAATATATTTTTGAGGGGCTAACTTCATTCACCTAAATAATGTGGTAAACAATAATAATTGGTTGAAAACTATTTACGGTTATTTTAAGTAATTTGGATTTCGATTATTTCATTAACATTTTTTTTCGTTTTGAGTATTTTTTAAATGAGTTCTAAGAAAATGATGTGTATACTTTTTAATTGAATCATCTTATCCAGATGACAGTGATGACGATAATTTATCGAGTGCTCCGAGTTTAAATCAATCAATTATTTCATTATCAAGTGATATATTTATTGAAAATATTTATGATAATGAAACAGATGAGTTATTTGAGCCATTAATAAAATCTCTGATGACAGGCAGTACTTTTGAGAGTGCTCGATTGTGCGAAGCGTTGCTGTAGTTGGAACATTCAACGTTGAGCATTATGCCGCATAATGCGCTCTAGTGCTGTTATTGGAAAACTATCCATGATACCTAGGGATGAAAGGCTGTTGGTTTAAACGAAATTTTTGCAACCTTACATGAGAGCCATTTTATGTTTAAAATTTGAAAAAAAATATCATAAAAAAACCTCTTCAGCTATTTGAATGTGGTAAACTTAATTGAAGCTCAATTAAAAACATCGATATGTTGATATGATACAAAATAAAATGCACCTTTAATTATAAAGATAAATGTCGCGTATTAATTGAAATGTCGCTTAAACTAAATAGCTACTCACCACCCGATATAGAGCGAAATGAATTACTTTATATTATTTTTATAAAACAGAATATGCAAAAGATTAGGTTAAATGACTTTAAAATGATTAAGTTAATCCCTTCGCCTTTCTAGTGAAAAAAATATAACTACCACTACATATGCAGGTACTTTACTAAACTTCAAGTGTCAAATTACGTCAAGTTATCATTTTCGGGTTGGGACTTTTAAAACTTGTAGTTATTAATTTAATGAAATAATTATACTACTTTGGTTATTTTGTTATTAATTGTTAATCCGAATAATAAAACTTCAATATGGTAAGTTGTCTTTCTAGTTTCAGTGACCTGGCATACATCATAACAAGCTATTTGTTGTGATGACTAATGCAAGGAAATTAAGAAGTATTTATACTAAAATCGTGCATATATATTTTGTTACAGAGTGACCAACAAATGGATTGTGCACTGGACTTGATGCGGAGGCTGCCCCCTCAGCAGATCGAAAAGAATTTAACAGATTTGATAGACCTCGTTCCGAGTATGTGTGACGACCTATTATCATCAGTAGATCAGCCTCTAAAGATTGCTCAGGATCGTAGCAACGGGAAAGACTATTTATTATGCGATTACAATCGCGACGGTGACTCCTACAGGTCTCCTTGGTCGAATACTTACGACCCACCATTAGATGATGGCTCCATGCCCTCTGAACGCTTGAGAAAACTAGAAATAGATGCTAACCTCGCCTTTGATCAATATCGAGAGATGTACTTTGAAGGTGGCGTTAGCTCAGTCTACCTTTGGGATATGGATCATGGATTTGCAGGTGAGCACTCTTAATTTAGTCTCTGTAAATTAAAGACATGTATTAGAACAGTAAATTCCACGGTGGCTGTGCATTACAGAAAAGGAATAATAGTATTTTTATTACTTTAGGGGGCAACTAAAGAAGACTAGTAGAACAGAAACTAGCAATTTTTAGTTCTTTTATATTAATCTGTTTGTTTGTTGAAGCATTACTCTGGAATTTCTGAATGGATTTTCACTTTGCTTTCATATGTAGACAGATATTGATTTAGAGATCAATAAAGAGTTTCATAAAATTTAATTTTGCTAGAAAGTTATTGTTAATTTTAAATACTTTTATTATTTACTTTTATACTCTTTGATGTTAAAAGTTCTATAGCAAATATCATTAACAATATGAAAGTAACTGTCTATATGTTATGTTTTCATCTCTAAACCAGTTTGCCAATTTTTACAAAATTCTGTGGAAATCGTTTAAGCTCTAAGAATAAATATAAGCTATCTTTCATTTCACCACTGGGTATGGATCTCTATAAAGTGTAAAAACTACTTTTAAATAAAGAGTAAATAATATTAATTTGGTAATATACTTTTATATATATTTTATATAATTTTATACTTTTAGTTAAATAATCTCTCACATAAAACATTAATCTTCATGTTTAATTGCATCATCTTTTTCATCCATTATTTTCATTGTCACTCTATTTTAATTCTTTTACTATAAAATACAAATCTATTCACTAATATTTCACTACTTAGTCCACCTTTAAATATTTAAAAATAACAATTTCAAATACAAAAATAAATAAAACAATTTCAGGAGTAATATTAATCAAGAAAGCTGGAGATGGTTCCCAAAAGATCAAAGGATGCTGGGATTCAATCCACGTAGTGGAGGTGATCGAGAAGAGTTCAGGACGCAATGCTCACTACAAGTTGACCTCGACTGCAATGTTGTGGCTTCAGACTAATAAAGAAAGCAGCGGCACTATGAACCTTGGAGGCAGTTTGACTAGACAGGTAAATTTAGTTTTATTTTATACGCACAAAGTTTAATAATATTGTGCAGGAGTTCTATTTTTATATTTACGCAACAAGAACAATGCAATTGCAGCCTCATTCTGGTACTGCATCCCCAAATCTTAATAAAATTATAATGCCATCATCATCACTATCATTCTCCTGCCCTTCTCCCAGTGACCTGGGGTCGGCGCAACATGTTTTCTCCTTCCATACTCCTCTATCATAAACCATTTCTTCTTTACTCCCCTTTACACATATCATCTTTCACTCAATCCATCCATTTTTTTTAGGTCGACCTCTCCTTCTAAAGCCTTGCACATTCATAGTTAAAACTCTCTTAACAATCTCATTGTCATTTCGTCTCATTACATGTCCATACCATTCCAAACACACATTTCTTAACTTCTCTGTCAGATGTGCCTCTTTCAGACTTCCTCTATCATATTCATTCTGTATTCTATCCATTTACTCTAAAATTATAATATCGTATTTTTAATATTATAGATTATCTTTTGAATTTCAGGCAGAACAAGACTCGACAGTAAGTGATGTGACTCCGCACATTGCAAATATTGGGCGCATGGTGGAAGACATGGAAAATAAGATCAGAAACACACTTAACGACATTTATTTTGGTATCAATTTTTCCTTTTAAATTACTTTATATTTAACAGACAAGTTATTGCCACTTTCAAATTTGAAATTCATTCTCCGTTGCACTATTTCCCTATTGCACTATTTCTATGTCATTACTTCTCGTAAGATTTTTCTCCACCTGTTTCTTTTTCTGGTGGTGTGGAGGGCGTTGTGAAATGTCGGACCATGGGCAGGGCGGATCTGGTCGGCCCAACTTATTGAGCCTTTCGAGGTTGCTTCCATTCTTCTTTACACTGTGACCAAAGTAGTCAAGGACTCTGCGAAGACTGCGACTCTTTGAAGTCGTCGTGGCCTAAAGGATAAGACGTCCGGTGCATTCATATCTAGCGATGCACCGATGCTTGAATCCCGCAGGCGGTTAGCAATTTTTCTAATTAAATATGTACTTACAAATATTCACGATCGACTTCCACAGTGAAAGAATAACATCGTGTAATAAAAACCAAATCCGCAAAATTATAATTTGCGTAATTACTGGTGGTAGGACCTCATGTATGTCCGCACGGGTAGGTAGCACCACCCGCCTATTTCTGCCGTGAAGCAGTAATGCGTTTCGGCTTGAAGAGTGGGGCAGCCGTTGTAGCTATACTGAGACCTTAGAACTTATATCTCAAGGTGGGTGGCGCATTTACGTTGTAAATGTCTATGGGATCCAGTAACCACTTAACACCAGGTGGGCTGTGAGCTTGTCCACCCATCTAAGCAATAAATAAAAAAAGACACTGAAGGTGATGATTTTGTTTTGTAGGTAAAACAAAAGATATAGTGAGCGGGCTGAGGTCAGTGATCCCGGCGGACGTGGCGCGCCGCACCGCCGCGCTGCAGCACGACCTCGCGCTCGCCCTGCAGCGCCGCCACGTGCAGCGCGACGACTGAGAGCGCCGCCCCCGCCCCCCGCTCGGCACACGTGAGTGCGGACACCGACCACAGACTCTAGAACGAACAGACTTACAATTTAACCTAAAAAAGCAACCCCAATTAAAACGTCTAGAATTAAAATTATTATCCCAACTACAATTATTAATAAATCAAAAATATAAATTACTATCTATATAAATTAATTTATTTATAAATTGACTTCTAAAACCAATACATTTATTCTGCCAAAATAGTTTATAAATTAAATATATAAATCAATCATAAATTCAACATAATTCAATATAATTTCAATATTTAATCCTTTCGTACTTAAAATATTATAAATATTAAAAGATAGAAACCAACTTGGTCCACCTGATGGTTGTCTGGAAGAGATCGCTCTTAGCGATAAGACCGCCTATTGTACTTTTTTATTTATTTAATGTTTCGCATTGTTTAATATTTTTTTTGTGTACAATAAAGAATACTCTCTCTCTTTCTCTCTTCCAATTTTTCGATATTCAAATTTTCTTGCGAAGGCGCAGTCGATTGAGATATCGGCCTCAAGGGTATAAGTTCCGACGACCGGTGCATTACTGTATCACGGTAGAAATAGGCAGGGTGGTACCTACCCGTGCGGGCCCACAAGCCCTACCGACAGTAAAACTGTCACTCGCAGTCACTTGTCACAATTTGACAACAATTACACATATCGAGGGGTGAAAGGTCATTTGGTTTAGGCGACATTTTTGCAACTGTACAGGAAGCTATATAAGTACATTTTTGAAAAATATGAAAAAAAATCTTCAGCTATTTCAATGGCGTTCGAATTCTTCTTAATTGAAATTTAATTAAAAATATCGTCTTTTGATGCTAATAATGGAATTTCGAAATGTCGCTTAAACCTTTATATACATAAATGTTATAATAGTCTTGCAACCCTCGATATGTTTTTTTTGTTTAAATTTCAACTTTAATGATAAATTAATTGATTAAAATTATTTATAAAATTACGCACTATGAACACACAATATAATATGGGAATAACCGCAATTTTTCTGCTTATTTTTTATGTATAATATGTAAAATAATACATGACATACAGCCCGTAGTTGAGATGTTTCATTGTTAAATTACTGTCCTTTTTGTACTGACTTCTAGTGTCATAATACGGTTTCGCAAAACAGGAAACTTTGTAGGAACGTATCTACCGTGTAAATTTTTTTTTCCTGCCTTACCTGATAGCCTTGAGAGGCTATTTCAGCTTCACCCTAACGTTTGTAGGTGCGCTCACGGGGCTCAAACCTGAGAGTTGCTAACACTGACCCTAGCAAGAGCAGTGCTTCGCAGAATCTACCAGCGGATCGGAAACGCGACCCACTGAGAAGATCCGGCGAGAAACTCAGTGGGCTGTGTCTATGGGTACCGTGTTATAGGCGAGTCACCCGTATTTATATTTCGCGTAAAAAATTACAGATGAGGTGGAGACGTTCGGTGATGTAACGAAGATAGAAGTGTTGCAAGAGGATTAACAGTGAAACGAACCTCACGTGTGAGAACTTATGAACATTAAATTAATTCCCCCGGTATATATGTCTCGTTAGTGTGTAAATGTAGATTTTAAATATGGCCGTTTATGGTGCTTTAACAGTCTTCAGAATTACGTTTGTTAAAATAATAAATATATACATACTTACAAAGAGAACAATTTCGATGATTTATAAACTTCAATAGTGGCCATTTTGGCGTTATTCAGTTAATTAAAAATACATTGGATTTCTCTCTCTCTCTTTCTCTCTTTCGTTTTAAGTGTACCTACCTACTTAAATTTTTTTTTTTTTAAATTGTCAAAATTCAAAGAAATTTCTTGTTAATGTATAGAGAATAATGTAAACTTAAGTAATTCGCTTAATAAAATGATGTATAATGATTGAATTGTTCAATGCTTTATGCCTTAAAATAAAAATATATATTAATAAGAAGTAAGTGATTGAAGTTTTAATTCTTCTTAATTTCGCAGATTGAAACTTGACTAATAACTAAATTTTCTGCCTAAATTTTAAATATTTTTTAAGGACTATATATGATTGACTCATCGATAACTGCGAATAGTCTAAATTTAGAAAAAAACCTTAGTACGTGTTCATAGTATGCAATTTAAAAAAAAATAGTGTAAAAAAAAGTTTATGTAAAAATAGAGTACATAATGCGCTATGTAAACCTAATTAGTATTTGAAGAGTTATTTTTTGTCTTTTAGTAAATGTAGGGTAAGGTATATAAAGATAAAATTAACATTGTAATTTAATTTTAGCAATTTGGAGGAGAATGTGTTCAGGTTTAAAGCAATTTCTGTTTTTGATAATTTTTTAATAAAATTAGTTAACAGACTTGGAAACCAAGTGCATTTTATCAACCTACCCAGAAAAAAAAAACACGTGTGGCACTCGGGGACTGCCGCGGTAAAGCTATTGCATAGCATTTCTTATCAACAGCAATTATAATTAAACAAAGGCGGAGTGAGGGGTGTTAGGTTTTTTTTCGTTACGGAATTTCTTGCTTCGGTCGCCGCGCTCAAAGCCCGCGATAAAAGCTATGCATGCAATAGCTTAAAAAAAACACATAATTTTGCACGTCCCACATAGTACGATCCACCCTAGTACCATAGGTATAGATCATAGATTTAGTTCTCATATTGTGTATAATCTATGCATTGGGTTCTACTATGGAAATCGGAAAAGATTCGGAATATCTTAATTACGAAACAAATGTGTTACAGCGCTGGCTCGCTGCCTTTTTTGTATTAAATTGTGGATTTCCGTATTCTACTATCGTTTACGGTAATCTCACCACGTCGACTTATGAGTAATGCATTTCGGTTTGAAGGGTGGGGCGGCCGTTGTAACTATACTGAGACCTTAGAACTTATATCTCAAGGTGTGTGGCGCATTTACGTTGTAGATGTCTATGGGCTCCAGTAACCACTTAACACCAGGTGGGCTGTGAGCTCGTCCACACATTAGGCAATAAAAAAAAAACTTCATGTCAGTTCTTGAGTTATGGCGTTAGCTCACCATTCGTGACCATACTATAGTCGTTGAACTCATCTCAATTTAGACGCCAGAATACAGATCAGCTGAGCACTCGATTTCAGATCTATGATAATTAAAAATTAATTGTGTTCTAATTCAGTTATGTTGGCAATTAAAATCCTAATAGTTTCGATTATTGTTAAGCTTATCCCAATTTGTTGGTTTAAACACAATTTGCACGTATTGTAATTTGTTTTGGGTAACAGTATGGACCAGCCCATTATCTGACGACATCTTTCCTGGAGGGCGCGAAGTCAGGTTGTTTAGCGAATGATTAAATTAGTAAAGCCAGAGCGCTACAGAGTGATGTCGGCAAAGCGTTGATCAGTGGTAAGCCACCTGAGATTGCACTCTATTCGTTTTTTTCTAATAATCGAATGAAATAATATTTATGTTTTAATTTTGTAAAATCAAGAAATCGTTTAAGGTCCTCTGCCTTCCAAAATACAAAAAAAAAAGGATATTATTGTTAATAGTACTAGTCAAAACAACTGTTATTCATTTCACTTCTTAGAAATACTCTACTAATAAAAGCATGTTTATTTGCATACATGTGTATTTGTTATAAAATATACCTCATTCCTTTGGTTTTCTTGTTATCTTGGAGGACCGGTTGAGGTTACGGTCACAGTTCTGTGTCTGATGGACCAACTCAACTGGACACCAGTAACGCCAATAGTACAGAAAAACCATGCTGGAACAAATACAGTTGCTGCTATCAGTCCTTTGACGTCATAACGGTGGATTACATAATAATAAGAAGGCGTACATAAAATATTTTACTTTAAGTTTTTTTTATTGCTTACCCGCGTGGACTCACAAGAGGTCCTACCACCTACTGTGGTAACTGGTAACGTTAGAAATACCTTTAAAAGACTCATCTAAAAATGATGGGCGCATCGTTTTTCTCAGTGGTATCATCGTACGCATCACACGCTACAGGTACTTCATGTACCATGAAAAATTATCATGGTAATTTCATTTACCAAAACCTTGAAGTTGTCATTTCCGTTTTACTAGCAGCATCTTCTTCAAAGACTGAGGTGGAAAGACTATTCAGTGTTCTCAAAAATGTAAAAACTGACAAAACGGGCTTTCTAATGAAACCCTGAACGGCTTGCTCCATACAAAGCTGGGATTGCTCGCAAACAATTGCTCAATTTTAAAAACGAACAGTGTTATGTTGCGTGCAGCAAAATAATATAAAAGCAATGCGTCGACTTCCCAAAAATTCTAATCCTGTAGATCTATGATCTTCTGTGGGCATTTTGTTATTATATAGCTACATTATATGCTGTGGTTTATTTTCTGTATTTTGTTTATGCTCCCTAAATAAAGGATTTATGAAAGTTGTTTATGGAATTTTAGGGATAAATTCAAAAGGAACTAGGGTAAAATGGAAATTGTAAGTGGAAACACTGAAAATACCTCGCTCAGTCAATAGGACTTTTTGGCGGGAACGCGAGGAGTGAAGTTGTGTGATTTGTTTTATTTTGTCTATTTCGTGTTTATTCAGGTTTAAATGTGTAATAACGGTGGTTTATTAACTGTTTAATATCTGTGAAAGTGCACAAATGTGGGAAAATGAAACAAAGCTGCTGGACGTAACTTCTCGGGTTCCTCCAAAAAGTCCACTGAAAAAATCTCAGTAAACCACCATTTTACTGCGATTATATTTCATCTCATATCATTCATTTAATTTCATCCCAGTTGATTAATGTCTCATCTTCATTTCATTTCACTCCATAATATCATTTTTCATAAAAATATGAATTTAAATTAAAATAAGACATGACTTAAAGGTCTCAGTTACCAGGTCATAAATCCCTTAAAAAAAAACTCAGTCAATATGTCAAATTGTGTAATTTGAAATTTTGTTTGAAATTTCGTTTGAGTTAAAAAATAGTGCAGATACAGAGACACACATATTCTATGGCTTTCATTTTTTTTTAATTTCTCGTTAATTTACACCATCAGAAATTAGTAACATAACAAAGGATTGTTTGGTAAAAAGTCGAAATGATTGGAGATTTAGCAGACTTCGACGATGTCAGCGACGTGGTATGGTGATGATTTTCTACTCAAAACAGAATGAACACAACAACAGAACAACAAAAATATTACGAACATCTTTAAAAATACACTTTATTTTATCTCTGTAACTACAATCATGCCTCTAGGCTTATGAATGCAATTATTTAAAAAACACTGCAATGCAGTGCTTTTTACTACCGGTACATACCTACTCAACTTGATCCTTCAATATTTTGTAATCTGAAAAATGCGAGCTAATTTGCATTTACTTCTAATAAATTACAAATAATCGTAATTATAACTGAAAGTATGTTTACGGTTTAATCTTGCGCTTATAATTTATTATTAATATTGTACAAACCGTAATTTGTCTACGTGTAACACCTTGGTCGTCCGCAACCGTGAAAAGTAAACACTTGGAAATGTCGAAAATATGAAGTGAAAATAAGTCGTGATTAAATAGAGTAATAGTATTTTTAAGTATGTTTTTTTTTATTGCTTAGATGGGTGGACGATCTCACAGCCCACCTGGTGTTAAGTGGTTACTGGAGCCCATAGACATCTACAACGTAAATGCACCTTGAGATATCAGTTGTAAGATCTCAGTATAGTTACAGCGGCTGCCCTACCCTTCAGACCGAAACGCATTACTGCTTCACGGCAGAAATAGGCAGGGCGGTGGTACCTACCCGCTTGGATTCACAAGAGGTCCTACCACCAGTAAACCACCAGGTCGTACCATCAGTAAAATGTCTCCCAATTTACTAGATATGTAGAAATACTGTATTGTCTCAGTTACTAAAAAAAAATATTGACGATTAAAATTCATCTAAATAATCAGGAATCTTTTTTTATTTAAATTAATTTAAACTTTAGTGGAAAATTTGCAAATTCCGTTACTGTTAACAGAACATGAGAAATAAAATTGAGCTTTTTCTACAACAAGTCTTAGAACAAGAGCAATATATTATTAATGTAAGCTATTCATAAACTTACAAATTGATCAGTTGTGCAACAAATCAACAAACAAACATTTTTAATTCACTAGTAAGTTTTTAGTTTCTTTGCATTCACAGTGATGATGCTGTTTTCTTAGCATTGTTGTTTTGTATAATAATAATGAAAGAAATATTAGGTTGTGGTGTATTAATAGCATTAAATATATAAATCGAGTACACGTAAAAAAAAACCTAAAATTAAATGTCAATAACAAGGCAGGCTGTGAGCTGCTTCATCCATTTGTGCAATGAAATTAAAAATATTGAAAATACAAACAATTATATTATTTTATTGCAGATTTTAATACCACCAAAAAAGGGGATAAAGAATCATGCACTTGACTCATTAAGCATGATAGTCTTAGATGATGACGTTGGACATCCAAGTACTAGACAAACCTGTGACATAAAATATGATAAAATATTTTTAGACAATAAGAATTTAGTAAAATTTATAGAAAAATGTTTTGCTCTGGAGAATTCAGATGGGATGGCGAGAATTGTTAATCGCACATTATTAGGCTTGTACCAGAACACATGTCCTGAGTACAAAAGTTCACATCGATTTCAAAATATTTTGGACAATGCCTTTATGAAGTTAGAGTTAGATCCAAAACACAAGTTCTCACACATAAAAGGTGTGTGTGATGCATTGAAACTTCATAAAGTTAAGAAGAAGGCCAAGCTTATAACAATGTCCACAGCTTTACAAGATAAGTTAAAAGAAGACAGTAAGTAATTTTAAATTTACCTTCTAACTGTTTTTCAAAACTTTTAGACTTATTTTTTAATAAATTAGTACTGAAAATTTTCAGTATTGTTGAAAATAAATTGTAAATTAAATTTTCAAATAAAATATGAACCTAGAAGAAGTCAATAGTTACTCCTTTTAGCAGTGGCTACTATTAATAATTAGAAAATTTATGTGATCTCATGTTTTTTTAAAAAATTTAAATTACCTTCTACAGCTGCTCTTCAGAGAAGATCACCAGTAGATGGGGTTTCAAAAAAGAAATCGAGGCTTAACTTTATAAACTTAGATGATAAAGGAGCAAACATTATAGAAATCAAAGATGATGACAGTGATGTAATTGTTGTTGACAACAGTTCAGAACTTTCAAATGAAAACAAAATCACTATAAGAGAAACAATTAAGACTGAAGATAGTACAAATGAACCTATGAAAGAAATGGATGTAGAAACGAAAATAATTAAGGATGTTCAAGATATTAATGTTGATTTTTTTATTATGAAAGATTCAGAAAGCAACAAGACTGAACTGCTAGTACCTGTAGGAAAAAAATCCTCTACAATTGATACTGAGACTCGAATCAAGGAAATTGAAATTACTATAGCTAATTATAAAGAGAAAATAGTTAAGTTGGAGCAACAGGACGTTTGTGATGATTCTCTTTATTCACCATATATTCAGAGTGAAAAGTGAGTGTTGATTGAGTTAATAAAAGTGAATTTGTGGATTGTGGATAGATAGACCAATATCATGTTCACCATGAGCAGTTATCTCATATTAAGAGAATTTGACTTTGAAATATTTGATACATACCAATGAACTATTTTGCCACTATGACATAAGATTTAATTATCACAAATTGGAACATAATTTTTACAGAAATTTGGACCATTGTTGAGAAAATGTTTTTGTCTGGCTATCAATCCGGAAATATGAGTATGGAACCTGGTTATTACTAGCTTGGACATTTTAAGGATTTATAGGATTGTCTACAAACCCTTGTTCTCCTTTTCTTCAAAATAATATCAATCATGCATTCCAGTTTGAAGGGTACTAAGTTCTACTTTAAAATGAAGTTGTGGTAGCTATGGGCTTTAGTAACTTCTAACAACAGGTGAGTCCTGTCCATCTACCTTGGTAATATAATGAACTGGCTGTTGTTACAGGTTAAAACAAAAGATTGTGGATCTGTATAAAGAGCTGTGTAGTCTTACTGGAGATGAGCCAATTAAAAGACGCGAAGTTCGACTGCAAGTTGCAAAAGATCATCCTCCTGCACCTGTTCAAAAACTTGAACAGTTCCTCAATGAGAACATAGGGTCAAATGGAGAGCCACCGTTCCCTGATTTCCATGACGTGATGATGTGTGTAGCAGAGGCCAATGCTACTGAGAGTTTGGGCTGGAATGCCGTGCAGGTCATGTCTGAAGGTAATTTTTTGTAACAAATTTATTTTATCTACACGAATAACCAAATTAATCATGGTGCTATATCCCGAGTTTGTAGTCGTCGTGGTTTAAAGGATAAGACGTCGGGTGCATTCGTATCTAGCGATGCACCGATGTTGCAATCCTACTAGCAAGTACCATTTTTTCTAATGAAATACGTATATACTTAACAATGTTCACAATTGACTTCCAAGGTGAAGAAATAATATCGTGTAGCAAATATCAAACCCGCAAATATGCGTAATTACTGGTGCAGGACGTCTTGTGAGCCCGCACAGGTAAGTACCTGCCTATTTCTGCCGTGAAGCAGTAATGCTTTTCGGTTTGAAAGATGGTGCAAACTATACTGAGACCTTAGAACTCATATCTCAAGGTAGGTGGCGGCATTTACGTTGTAGAAGTCTATGGGCTCCTGTAACCACTTAGCACCAGGTGGGCCTTAAGCTCGTCCAACCTAAGCAATAAAATATAAAAAAAAGTAGGGATAGCTGGGATTAACAAAATCCATTTTATTAGCATAAATAGACCAAGGTATTAATTGCGCCATTTTATGTGATTGTCAAATTGCTAATTTTAATGTAAATATGGAACAAAGATTTGTATTGAAATAAAAAATTATTTCAGCTGTCATACTCTAAATAGATGCATCAGAGCACTGATTTCTATATAGGGTAATGATCTATAAACAGAGGCGAAATTCATAGTTGAATAGAGTATTCGTTTAGAAATGCTTATGAGCTTATACACCAAATCATTAATGGTAGCATCTCCATTTTACAACTCTTCCCTTGGACTAGTGCATTAGCATGATGTTAATTATATTTTAACTATCCTAATCATACAAATCGGAACATACAACTGTACTATGGCAAAAATACACAGGTTAGTGGTGTCCTCTTTCACCAGCAGGGGAGGATTAGAGAAAGCAATAAGTGGATGATCTCCATTCTTCACAGGTTGAATGTTAACTTTAAATTAAACTTCAGAGTATCTCGCTTGTAATTATTATATTACTATTTACTATTAACGGCCGTCTGGTGTAGTGGTAAGTGACATGGTCACTACACAAAGGGAAGGGAATCCCGCCAAGGGAAGATATTTGTATGATAAATATAAATGTCTTTTCCAGGGTTATGGATGTATATTAAATATATGTATGTGTATAATAAAAAATCTTACATTGATATCCGTTATCTGGTACCTGTAACACAAGTTTTTTACGAACTTATCACGGGACCAGTTAACGTGGCGTGGTTGTTAGTAAATATTTATTTATTTACTTTTTTAATGTTTCACTTTTATTAAGGCAATGTCAAGGGCACAGCCATATTGTGTTTGTTTCTTATTCCTTCAATTGTGGAATTCGTCAATTTGAGTACATATTTCTTTAGGCCACAAAGACAAATATTATAATCAGTAGATAGGAAAGTTTAGAAGATATTATTCTGCTAATCTAATTCACATAATAAATAAATTATGTATGAGGCTGAGATTTCTTTATTATATTTTGTTTAAACGGAATCATTGGAAAGTAAAGTGACTTTATATAAGTATCTTATTTCTAGCAAATGCATTGTTCACTCAATGTGGTCGCGCTCTGCAAAAACGTCGTCAGCAACGCGAATGGCGAGACTTGCTATGTCGAGTCAGGAGCGAAGACTTGCGAGATCCTGCTGATGATGATCCCGAGCTGCTGGCAAGACTCGAGGAGAACCGACGCACGGCCGCAAAGAAAGAACGGGATCTTATGGAGAGGTATTTTCGTACTGCACACATAAACACGCTTATGTCTTGGGTTTTTAACCGACTTCGAAAAAGGAGAAGGTTCTCAATATGACTGTTTTTTTATGTTTGTTACCTCATAACTTTTGAATGGGTGAATCGATTTTGACGATTCTCTTTTTATATTAGAAAGCCGACGCTTCCCCTGTGGTCCCATTTCAATTTAATCCAGTTCTGATAATAGTATCCATGAGAAAACCATGTAAGTCTTAGATTTGCATTAAGTATGCGCGACAAATAAGATAAATAACTCATTAAGTTAATGTCACGCCAACCGATTTCGATGATTATTGTTTTTAGTGTATATGCATTTGTTTTGGAATATCTTTTTTTTTCCTATTTAAAGTCGGTTTTTGTTAATATAGTTACAATTATTATTAGTCTACTGATTCATACCTGCACTGTTTGGTATATCGTATAGCACTATTTACTTCTTCTTTTTTAATATTTCTCGCTAATTTAGTTTTGTGAGTGAATAACAATCCTTTGTTACAGGTTTACAAATATTGATTGCGACGTTCCCAGCCTTAATTTACATGTAGATATTAATGATTCGCACGATCAGATAGTGGACAAAAGCGACGAACAAGATAGCGACAGTGAGAAGGAGGAGAAAATTCCGATCTTCACTAATAAGGAAGTCAAAATAGAGAAAGACATTGAAACAGATAAACTCGACAGCTCCGACATTGAAACTAAAAAACTTGACAGTTCCAACAGTGACAACAATGAGGTCACTGCCGATGTCAAAGTAAAGATTGAACCCGTAGACCTATCAGTCCTTTACGACAGTGTCGAGAACAGCGTCACATCAGTCATATTCGACGTCGAAGATCCATTTTTGGTGATTGAAATTTCGTCCGATAGCGATGATGACTGTAATGAAACTGCTGAAAAATTATGAAAATTGAACTGTTTATCGTAAAAGGCAACTAACAAAGACATCTGTCATAAAGTACTTATTTAATTAATAGGGCTCACTCAAAATCGAAAATTAACATTCGTGCACGTGATCGGCGTGCGATAATATGGCTACATTGAATACACTGGCTCCAACTGACATCACACAATGAAGTTCCGTCTAACAGTTATGAATTGTCGTGACAATTTTGAAAAAAAAATGTCGCGTTCCCTATTCTAAATTTGAGTAGCAAATGTTACTCTATTCTGTGAAGCAATACTAGAGTAAGTCGTAGAGATAATATAATATTTTAGCAAACATTTTATTCTCATACATTCATGTTATTACAGTTTTAAGTAATTCACGTAAAATGATATATATTATATATATTGCTTTTAACCGCAACTAGACAATTATAACCTGTGATAAACACTGCCTTAGTCTTACACATACAGAAATTAATTCAAATTAAATTATACCAAGATTTTAAATGCTGTTTCTTTAGAAACATTGTGTTAGTTGAAAAGCAATCTCTTAAAATAACATAATATATTTTATGGTCACAAGAGCGAGTAAAAGGAACCTAAGACTTTTTTATCAAGTGAACATGCGTTTTTATCAGCCGATTAATTGCATATACTGACTGCATGCACAATTGAAGCATTAGTATTTATTCAATTTCTATTTTTAACGTTCAAATGTATCAAGTCTTTGTTTTGTGGCAAGTTTTCTTTATAGCCGGTATGTGTGCTCACGTGCTTTGAAGTGATTAGTCTACGAGCGCAAAATGTGGAAAGTCGTGCATCATTATTAATTATATATTCATTGTTAGTTTAGTCATATTTAAATTTGTGGTTTTAATAAAGATTTCACATTAGGAAACAGGCTTTTTATTTTTTAAACGCCATGTTAATCTCATTTTCATTTCTGAACTAGTTTCTGCTTGCAGCTTCTCCCATGTACGTAAACTACTGTGACGTGTTGTTCGAATGGACCAAAATAAAAATATATTGGCATAGGTATTCATAGGTCCTTCTGTGCAAATTTCTAAGTTAATTGTTGACTAAAAATTATGTTGAATGATTCAGTTATATCATATATTTTTTTATTTGCCTCTGCATGCAGACGAGTACACGGCCCACCTCATGGTGAGTGGTTACCGTCGCCCATGGACTTCAGCAATGCCATCAAAAATAGGCCAAGTCTAATAAATGCCCGATAAATTAACTTATTCTTAGGATGGATTAGATGAAATGTATCAATTTAAAATCCAATCGAACCGCGGAGTCTACCTAAGGTTGCCAAAGGCGGGAGCAGCTGCCAGTTCGAATTGCATTTAGAAATAGGAGCCTACTAAAACAAAGTTATTTATGTTTGGTTTGGTAAATTAATCACTATATTAATTTTAGCCTAAAATATTATTTAGGTTTTGGTTTCGGAATCTGCATATAAAATCTAAAAAGGGGCGAAGGCAGGGAAGAAATAAAAAATAATAATAATATTAAAACAAAAAGTAACGAATGACAAACTCACATTTCATTAGTTTTGTACAGATTTAATTCGACAGACTGTTTAAATACTTATATGACTGATTAACATATGCTTATTCGGCAGTTTTTTTTTTTTCAATTCGGTACGTGATCGAGACATTGCCTTGTAGTTGGGTTGAGTATCAGAAACACGAATCGTCATCAATCGCCATACAAACTTACATATATACAGAAATTACTAAATCCAATACTTCATTCTGACCTAGCCCCGTGTTATAAAAATAAAAACCATAATGATTCTTTAAATGAAAGGAAATATCTGTTAGTGTTAAGTCTCTTAAGTCACAGGGTCGGTGTTCGCCTCACAATGTATAAAATTAGTAGTTAATATGAATTAAAGTAGAATATTTTTCCAAATTGATACAATTTCAAGAGACCGTGTGTTTTAAGAGAGCTACTGTTTATCAATAACGCGTCAATTAATTTTAAATTAATCTACATCCTGGACAGATATCTAAAGCACAACACAAACGGGGACACATCTTATTTTTATTAAAAAGAAAAATTGCTTTTACTAAAGTATGTATTTTTATTTTACATATCCCGATGTCTACACGTCATACCTTAGATTTTTTTTATTTTATATAAAATCAAAAACCTGATTAAAAGCTGCTAAGTATAAAAAAAGCTTGACCGACAGTAACGATTATGCAAATTCGTAGAGAGATAAGTATTCCGCGCAGACAGGAGAGCGAGCAGCTACTTTTGTTCGAAAACAGGGATTTGAATGCTTAAAAAAATATCTCTATAAGGCCTTACCTTACACATTCTTACATTAATTTTCGTATATTCATATCGTCTTTGACAATGTGACGAATTAAATAAAATAAAAAAATCGACAAGTCCGCTAACATGTAAGTGACTGATTGAACCAACGAGCCTTCGGAGGCAACACTTGCGGCAGCGACCATGGGCACACCGCGCATTCTGTAACAATTCATGTGTGCGTCCAAACACGCAAAAGAGAGCAAGGAAAGGCCGAGATGAGCAAAATATCTACATTTTAAAAATAATTTCCTTTTTTCATAAAATGCATCAGTCTTCGCTGAAAACGTTGGGTTTCAGGAGACACGATCATCATCAGTCTTGATTGATTCAGCATGAGTTTGGTCGAAATCATCAGTTCGTATTACCACAGAAGGCGCATTAACTACAGTAGTTCATCTGAACGAACGGCAAGTGTTACACATGAAGGGACCTGGCGCCTACAAGGCGACTCTGATCATTTCAGGACTATTCAATCACACACCACATTCAAGAATTATATTTATTTCAATTTTTTTTTTGGGTTTTTTTTTACTTTTTTTTATTTAGCTCTTTAGACTATGGTATTAACTTCAAGTTTGCGTCCATCTTTTCGACACGATATCAAAATGATATTTAATTTGAACTAAGGTCTGTTTATCGAAATGTGGATTGATTGGAACGCGCTGGTGTAGCTCCAGTCAGTATTGCGATCCAACCCACAGACCCGAGCTGCAGCGAGAGGCCTCGTCCTACGCGAACCAGCGACGCGACGCGTTATCGCTCAACCTTTCCCGCGCGACATTCGTAGCAGGAATCAGGCGCACAGTATCGCTTCGTGTCGCATCGCATCGCATCGCCCAGGACGACGGGTAAGCGAAAAGAGAACGAACAAAACAAAAACAAACGTGAAGTTTGGGGTCTGATGGGTCACGACCGCCGCGGCCGCCTCGCTCTCGCCGCTCGCACCCACACTACAAATAAATTATGTCTCACTCACTACCCCGGTGCTGGCTGTTTCATTAAACACCGCTACTTTTAAATTGCCAAAACCATATACCCAACAACGTGGAAGAAGTCTGAAATTGTCTTTGAACTGTCAATTTATAATTATAAATGAAAAAAAAAAAAAAAACGATATATAATATTTTACTGCTTTTTATTGAAATTATATTTTTCTTAAATTCACTCTTGTTTTCGATCCACATTGAGGGCTCGTAAATGTTTTTTTTTTTTTTTTTTGTTATTAAAATGACCTTTTTTTTACAAATCTTTTTCGTTTTCTAGCTGTAATTGTTTAACAATAATCGGATGACTGTTCGATTTGGCCAGCAAAAACTTTAGATGCCCTTTAAATTCTGTTAAGTATTACGGAATTGAGGGCGAGACTACGGAACGCGTCGGCGAAGTGAGGGGGTGAGGTATTGCGAGTGACGTCAGCGAGGGGGAGGCGCCCCGCGGTCTCCGAGCACCACCTCTGTATTATTATTCGTTTTTTAAGTTAAATTTATACACAATATTATGTTTTACATTTATGTAAGAGTTGTTGATTGTAAAAAATTAAAAGTTTGTTAACCCTATAAATGCTGAGTTGGTTTATTTGTCGAGAGCTGTGTTTGCTTTGACGGCGATGACGCACTCCTCACCGCAGGATTTCAGCACGGTGCACTGAAATTAGAAAGAAAACGCATCAATAAGTACAGTCATTAAAAAAAAAACTATTTTGGATACCTACTGCTAGTAATCTCAAGGGGTTATATATATTTAATTTTTTATATTCCTTAGATGGGTGGACGAACCTAACCTAACCTAACCCACCTGCAGGTATTAAATGGTTACTAGAGCCCATAGATATCCACAACGTAAATGCGCCACCCACACTTTCGATAGGCAGACGAGCTTACGGCTCATCTGATGGGAAATGATAACCGTCGCCCATAGACATCCAAACTACATCAGTGACTCAGATGCGCTGCCTGTCCTGGCCTGGATGGGCAGCTTTATGTATGTTACACCGGCTATCCTGTCCTTCAGACCGGAACACAGTATTGCTGTTTTGCGGCAGAAATAGACAGGACGGTGGTACCAACCCGGGCGGGCTTCTACACAGAACCCTACCACCAGTAAAGAGATATGAGTTCTAAGGTTTCAGGTATAGTTCAACGGCTGCCCCACCTTTCAAACCGAAACGCATTATTGCTTCACGGCAGAAATAGGCAGGGTGGTGGTACCTACCCGCGCGGACTCACTAGAGGTTCTACCATCAGTATACTACTTCACGGAATGTGAAACTATAGAAGTAAATTAATTGTATTTTTTTTATTTATTCCTTTACATAACCAGTACCCAACAAATCTTTCAGGTCGCGGATTAATGATAAAACAATCGGTGTTTCCGTTTTATCAATCATTAATTTATTATTTTACACTATCGAGCGAGCGCGTTAGCGCTTCTACTAATAAATTGAAATCGTTCAGCATTACATGACGTAAGACATTTACATTCGCAAGAATATATTAAACGTCCAATGCGATGTTAAAATCGTACAAACTTAAAACTGTGCCCATTAAATTTTACTCAATATATTATTTAAAGATTCTGTTTAACATATTGTAGATATTACACGAGCACTAGTTAAATTGGATTATAAGAATTATCATCCTTATCGATACTTCCCGAACCTAGAATCCTGCCGCACTTATCCCTTAATACCTCCACAACCATGGTTGCCCCAATATGGTTTTAAAATAATGATGTATTTAAAGATAAATAAATTCATGTTAAGCCTGTACATATCATATTTTAATGTTTTTATTATTATTATAAATGTCCATTTTCATTAAACTTTGTGGCTGGAAAAAATACGCGGTTTTATTGAATTCCGGGTAGAATGTTTTCTAATAATATACATAAAGTTTTTTATTACTGTTTTTTTAGGTGTTGCAATTTACACGGATGGATACAACGGCTGATCTAAAGCGAAATTCCCCAGAAGGAGAAAGGGGCCTGAGATTATTTACGCGATTCTCAATAAACACAGTAATTTCTTATTGGAGTCCCAAATTCTTGATATACATAATTGCAATAAAACTCGTTTTTTAGAACATAGTATACAAATCGCACCTTTATAATTGAAGTGGCCTAAGTATTTTTTTTAAGAAAACGAGTAATATACTTTGATCGACTTATGAACATGTATACGATGTAAAAATTCAAGTCTCCTTTAGTTCCGAAAAGGCAAACGTATTTTTTTCGTCTCTTTTGAATCAAGCTCTTACCTAAAGTATTATTATAATCGAAAAACAAAAAAAATGACAATTCTTCAATTAACTTCTTGTTGTTTACCAAAAGATAAGATAATTTTGGATTAAACCACATCAATTCTAAAGGTGCGCGAAATCATATTCACAGAAAATCTACCTACAATAAATACATGATATATAATCAGAGTGATCCGTCAGGAAGCAGACCGCCCACTTTACGCTTTATTGATTTACGGCAAGTGTCTTTGTGCAAAGGTCGACTTATGTGTCGTCATTTATAAGCCTTGGTCCTTCACAGATACGATTAGACGTTCTGTTTTTATTCTTAATAATAATAAAAAATTTGGAAAATATTACGTATGGTAATCTGGGTCCCCATTTTAAGATTCTTTAGGTACATACAGAGATAACAAGCGCACAGACAAAGAGCAAACAAATCTTTTCATAACACAATATAAGCCCCATATGGGAATCGAACCCGCGATTCTTGGCGGAACAGTTAGGGCCACTAATTACTGCACCACCAAGTCAATCAGAGAATGTATTACTTTGGGGCGACAGCAATATTAATTACAAGAATGTATTGAAAAAGTATTGTTATAATGAATTTGAATGTTTAGTGAAAATATTCAAGACATAGTAGTAATCCCCAAGCACTAATAGATTTATTCTCTCAACATATGAGCACATATGAGAACTGGGCTTAAATTTCATGTTTTTTAGAATTAAATATTAGAATGTACCCTTAACCCATGAGTCCATATGACTTGTGAAAAACACTAGTCCAGGTATCAGGCAGAGATATCATCTACGAGTTAATCTAGCACCAGCAAACTAAATAAGAATGCCAGAGACTCTATACTCGACATTAAGTCATCTTTGAAATCATAATCAATTCGTACTTCAGATAACTAACTTGTTTTTTTTATTTTTACTAATTATAAAAATTAAGATTAAGACGCATGTAATTTTACAAAAAACACAAGTTCCACATTTTTTCTTACCATTAAGCAAGAGCAATATAAAATTTAATAAAAATTCGAATGACACATACCAACAATTCCTTGCCGCTGTCGAAGTCAGTACGCAACTGTGTGCCGAGGTCACCATCCGGGATTTTGAGGTCCTCACGCAGGTCACCGTTGTCAGCCATCAGGGTCAGGTAGCCATCATCCGAGATATCAGTCAGTTGGTAGTCTTCGCGCTTCACGTGAGGTACGTCCATGTTGTGTGTGGAGGGACAGATATCTTCATACCTAAAGGATACAAAAAAATACTGTTAAATAAATTTATTACTGGTAAAAGCTTTCTTCAATTTTGGTCAGGTAGGTAATTAGAAAGTATGAAGATAGTGCAGCCATAGCTTTCGTGACTTTGACTTCAATAGTAGTTTATAAATAAGTATTTAAAATAGTATAATGCAATCCCATGTTGCACAAAGATTTCCCTAATAATGGAAATTTTATTGCGTATTATTACCTAATTTGTACTGTAACAGATTCGTCCATCTTTGTGGTGACGACAACTTCAAACTACAAATAAACAAAGCAGAGTTAAGTTGGATTAAGAAATATGTTGGCTGGTTATGAAATCAATTTATTGCAATCTTGTTGTCACAATTTAATTGCTCTATTTCATTCTTCAATAAAGGGAAATGATGTTAAATTACCCAAGAGTTACTTGTAACTATCAAACGAGATCCAATTATGCATTTACTAAATTAAAAATGGAATTATGGATAAGTATTGAGATCTGAATTTTATCAATAGCTTACTTTACATAACGATTCTTAAATCATAACATATATTTTTTGTTACTACTTTCTACAATATGCAAAAATATTTAGAAGTCAAATCCTTTAATTCCCAAATCATTAGTAATTTAAGACTATAATAGAAGTGTATTTGTAATTGTTTGTTATTGTTCTACAGCATTTGAGACTTGGGCTGTTTTGTGTAAAGAAGCAGGTCCTCAGACGTCACAATGTTAATGCCAACATGTGCCTTGAGGCAAAGTTGAAGTCCAGTTGAGTTCAACAAACAATTGCTTCAGGGCAGAAATACTTTAACTTTAAAGTCTTCTTTCAAAAATCTGACACGACTACCGTATCTTCGTAGACGAGGTTTTATATTTTTGATTTAAAATATTAATCCTCGGATTAATATTTTAAAATCTTATCAAACTTAACTCTTGGTACTACATTTTTTAAAAAGTTAATCGCATTTTTACAATCTATTTTGTTATCTTATCTATTTTGAAATGTAGGTGTGTTTTATTCTAAACAATTTTTAAAATACTCTCATTGTATGAAAGAATTAAAGAAGACATCTAAGTGTGATTGTGTATACAAATCCAAGCATTTCTAAAGTTTATCCAATTATTAAATCAATAATGGCCTATGAAAATATTTATTTTACTAGATATTAGAAGATTTGATTTAATAGAAGCAAAATTATACTAGATTATGCGAAAAACTAATCATAGTATGAAGAAAATTACGAAAACGAGTATTTTTATTTCATGTTTTATATTTATTATATATAAGATATTAGAAGATTTGATTTAATAGAAGCAAAATTATACTAGATTATGCGAAAAATTAATCATAGTAAGTATGAAGAAAATTACGAAAACAAGTATTTTTATTTCATGTTTTATATTTATTATATATATATCCCTGTACGGTGATCCCGCTGCACTGTATTACAGCGAGACGCATAGTCGGGACTGATTTTTATTTTTCGAGTACCCTCAGCACGAATGCAATATTTATAAATCTGCATTCGCGACTCTATGGGCTCGTAAGAAATCACAAAACTGTAACTATAGGTGGAAATCGAACCTAAGGCCCTGACATAGAGAGGCGATGAGTTAAGTGATGGACTAAGGGAGCAGTAAGTAATCATCGTCAAACTTCCATAGTATTGAACTCGAAGTACGCGCATTTTAGTGTTTTACTATACTTAATGCAATTATTTGACTGCAATAAGCAGACAGACAAATTTGTAAATTATTTCCAGGCTACATTTTTTTCAAATATTATTTCTCCTGATCACACAGTGAATGCTATGGAAGTAGTTTCGTGAACATGTATTGGGTATGAATTTAGCTTTTGGTACCTGTCACAAGCCTTGGTTTTGTATTACAAATTCAAATGCTGCATTACTAAAATTACTGAATTACTTACTTTTTACCATTGAAGATATCAATCCCAACCAAGTGAACTTTAGCGTGGCCGTGCTTTCCGGTTTTGGATGTGGACATTTCAACAATCTTGCATGGACGACCCTTCAGCATAACGAAACCATTTTTACGCAGGGCCGAACATTGCATGGGGAAGGTGGCTGAGGCCCCGGAGTCTCCGGTCTCAAAGTGTGTGTCTTCGATGTCACCCATTGTTGTGTTTTGAATTTAACAACGGTCAGGAATGATCTGTTGAAATGACAATGCAATAATATTTTTAATAACAAATATTTGTAAGAATATTATAATTATAGGAACTTCTAAATAAGTTTGTTATTTTAATTGATTTATTTAGAACTTTTTATAACCAATATATGATCTGTTTTAACATGCATTTATTAAATGAAAAACTGCAGTCTTTAATCATTATTATATAAACATTTCTTAGTTTAAATAATAGGATAACTGAAGTGGAAAATGAAAAGTAAAATACACAAGCAATGGCTGCCTGTCTTCAATGTTGCAATAATTGCAGTCTGATAGATGAAAGGGACATTCTCATTTGACATAAAAAAAAGCATCAAAAAATCAGTTGAACTGTGATTCATAATCAGACTAGTAGTGTTTAATATTACAGTTAGTTAGGCTATTGACTTTTATGTCATTGAACTTAGGTTCTCTTTGTTTACGTGTGAAAGCACATGGTACATTTTCAATAATGTTGAAAGTAAAATGATTAAATTTTTTACGATTTTAATTATTTTTTCTATTTCTAATAAACATGATTCGAATGAATGGAATGTGGTGAGACCACTGATTAAACAATCTTTTTATCTTTATTTTTAAGCTTTCATAATCATTTAATTAAGATTGCTTCAAAACAGTTGAAAATGATAAATATTAGTTGATTTTACTTATTATGTAAAACACCTGAAAAACAAAACAATATAGACTGTCCATTGACATTAACAAGACTAGAATAGCATCTACATCACTGGCATTATATACAAACAGCTGTTTCAATTACACCTCAATGTTCATTACTACAATCTATAGAAATAAAGCTTTGATACTGATGAATAAAATGCAATAATGGTATTTTTAGTTGTAGGCTCATAAACATCACCATTTTAGAAAAATATTATCAATAGATGACAGGTGAAATAAGTTCAAATCTGCTAAGAAAGCAGACATGTGAACAGGAAAGGAAACCTCAGACTCAGATAAGATTATCATGGAAGTCAATTAAATCTATTAATATTACATTAGGCTCTAGAAGACATTAATCTAGACACATCCTAGACTCGAAAACACCGAAGCATATGTAATCATATGTTTGAAAAGCAATTATCAATAAGGACCTTCCACAATATTCGTGTATGTAAAAGAAGCAATTAGATAAATATATCCAATCCAACAACAAGAAGTGAGTCATTAAACTTACTCACAGTCACTCCGAGGATCAACGCGAAATGTCTAGTGCATACAACACAAGTAATAATACAGACTGCAATAGGTCCCCGCTGCGCTTGTGCACTTTTTTCAAAATCGTACGTTGCCTAACCCCACCTATCGAACCCAGAAGAAAACATGATAACCCAAAGATATCCAAAGAAATACGAACAACGATCAGATAATACAAATAGCAAGATTTATTGAGTGAAATTAAGCTGGGAATATCCTTATTGGACTCTATAAAGCCGTGTAGTGTGGTCTCCTCACATGTGGCTTCGGAAAAGGGGCACATTGGGTATCCGTTTCTTGTTAGCACACATTTCGAAAAACATAGATATTTTCATCTACACATATAAAAAGGACAATGAAGTGCCACAAATTATTTATACTTCATCAACATTTCAAAACAGATACAATGAAAAGTTACAATATGACAAACGTGCCGGCGCCGCGACACATACGTTTTTTATTATTTACACAAATTTCACACGGTGGCAACGCAGCACTTTCACATATTTAAGTTCACCATTAAAAATACTTACAAAATCAAAAAGATAACTATTTATTAAAGCTTCACAATAAAACTAAGATATTTATCGACACTCACATGTGACCGACGGGTTCTTCAACCGAAAGGTCAATTTGCGCCTGCGTAGCACCTACAACAGTCACTTCCTGTCGCGGGGTTCACAAAATGGCGGATATGTTGCTGACAGATGGCGGCAATTTTAAAATGTAAAGAAAATATATTTTTTATTATTCAATTTATGAACAAAATTACTGTTAAAGGAAAACATTTCAATTAAGAGTTTCGAATCTGAATGCTTTTGCAAAACTTAATTGTTTTGCAATCAAATTCAATACCTATGTTCCTCTCTGTGGAGCTGTTTTAGCATAAGTGTCAAATGTCGTTTTAATATTAATTCACAGATGGCGCCGCGTTATCTAGTAATTTGCACACAGATAAAAAATATAATTAAAAGACGAAACTAAAATAAATTTTAAGCTTTTACTAAGTCTATTACAGAAAAAATCTACAAATAGTTCAAAATATAATTGCAAAATAATAAATTACAAAAAAATTAAGTAGTGTGTAAAATCTTCGCATTAATGTTTAGGTTTTTTCTTGCTAGATGGCACTATACGCTACATATATAAATACTTGGTCCAAATTTTGTTTTCTACTTTTTAACCAACTGCTTAAAGAGGATATTGTTTTTTCTCTACCTATTCCAACTACTCTCTGGCAGGTAGGTGAAATCTCGGGGCTCAACCTCAGAGAGCTTGCTGACACTGGCCCTAGCAAGATTAGTTCGCAGAATCTACCACCGGATCAGAATCCCGACTCACTAAGAAGATCCGGATGGATAATGTTTTTGGAGCGTATGCTATGAATAGCAATATTAATTCAATATTTCCACGAAAAAAGAGAAAGGATAAAATAATATTTCTCTACAGTTCAGCTCAACAGCAGTTATTTCACGAATTTCAAAATGATATGGGATGTTATATTTTATTAATAGTTAATAATCTCAATTGTGGGAGTGAAAATATTGAAGTATGTTATTACAATATTGTAATTACTTTAAAGTGCCCGGGAAAAAAATTAAGTATAATTTTTTTTTTTTTTAAAGCTAAGTTTTGTTCTGTGACTTATGTATCTTTTATCTCGAAAAAACACCTAATTGCGACGGGAAATAGTTTTATTATCTTTAGGATAAAATTATTGACACTTTCCCTAGATAACGCGCGAAGCTGTGAGTCACAGCTAGTAAATAACATTTGGGGTGGTATCTACCAGTGTGGCATCAGGACCCTACCACCGAGAAAGATCATAAGAACATACTCGTGAAGCGACACGGCGGAGCACACACTTTTTTTTATTGCTTAGATCGGTGGACGAGCTCACAGCCCACCTGGTGTTAAGTGGTTACTGGAGCCCATAGACATCCACAACGTAAATGCGCCACCCACCTTGAGATAGAAGTTCTAAGGTCTCAAGTATAGTTACAAAGGCCCTATTATCAGCCCTATTATCACGAAGCAACGCTGCGTCGCTGTTGTCAGACTGGACCTGTCACTGTCGATTGTCGTAGCTACGATGTTCGATAGCTATGAGTCCTGGTAGGGCCCTAAATACCATCCTGTACCCGTAGTCTGCTTCTAGCATATGCTGACCGTCAAGCTCTACATACCCCAGGTGCCCCATAGGCGTGGCTTCCCGCTGTCAATACTGCAGACTCGCGGCGCCACCCGAGGACAGGGCGATGCTACTGGTGTTCCAGGATACCCCTTAGTTCAGAACGAGCCTGCCAGGTCGGAACACGATACACCGCCGACCGGGTTGCTCGTCCACAGTATACGTCTGGCAACGACAGCGACGACGGTAACACGGATCACATCGCGGACTGGTGCCAGCGCGTTAGAGTGACGGTAGCGTTCGGCCCAGCCTCGACCCTCTCAGGTCGCCCCGTGACCACCACTGGGAGGAGACTGCTTCCTTAAGGGGCCGGAGCTAGACGAACCCCCGACTAGCCCCGTATGGCGGCGAGGGCCCGGCCCCGCTAGGGAAGGAGCGAAGGAAGAGTTTCGCAGCCTCCTTCTGCGGGATGGTCGATTCGCAAACGTCGAGCTTCACCTATCAAGACTCATCGCTGTCGAGCCATGACGGTCGGCAGCAACGGGTCCGGTCCTATCTTCGCGACGAGGACGCGGCGCTGCTCCGTGAAAGCGGGTAATTTTTTCCCCTACTTTTGCTGATAGCCTTGAGAGGCTATTTCAGCTTCACCCTAACGTGTAGGTGAGCTCACGGGGCTCAAACCGGAGTGGTGCTAGCACTGGCCCTAGCAAGAGCAGTGCTTCACAGAATCTACCACCGGATTGGAAACGCGACCCACTGAGAAGATCCGGCGAGAAACTCAGTGGGCTAAGGGGTCATTACGTGAGCGTGTGTTCCACCGAAAGAATGCAAGCCTGTGCTAATTTATGTTTCTATTCGAACAAGTCGGGAATTATAGCTTTAGCTATGAAAGGATTCTGAACGAATCTGGAATTGAATACTTGTAAGCATGTGTAACGTCAAAAATATTATGATGAAAATATGAAAGCGAGATTTAACTATAAAAGTATTGTTGCAAATTTCTGTATAATTTTTATGAAAGAGCTAAATATCTTTTTAATAAAATAATATTCTTCTTGGATCTTTTAAATAAAATAAATTCGTTTTATATTGGACTGAACTTTATTTGGGTTTTGATCGTGTTCACGAAATCTGTTGAAAAATAAAATTGGTCATTCAGCTTGTGCGACTGTTGCAAATTTAACGACCGTTATAACATTTGCAAAGCGTAAGACGCAATCGTTTTTCATACCGATTTTGTTCTATCTCCAAGACATATTTAAATGCATTCATTTTGGGGATATGATATGGCTTCCCCCTTGTCTGATTGTCTCGCACAATTGAACTTATAAGAATAGACTTTCTGAGTATCTCTAGCAGTATAATAAATAAAATTCGACACATACATATACCTACACAAACGATAGGTCAAAACATTTGTTGGACATTTAAGCCTTGTTATATTCTTCAGATTTGGGTAATTTGCCTGAGGATATAGTCTATGATTCTATAATCACTTTTAAATTAATTAAGATTGGACCACGGGAAGAGCTTATATCTCAGAAGTGATATATCGCTCACACTAGGATACTTTTGTCCCACATCGAAGAAAAAAAAAATTTTTTTTAATTGATTTTATGCCCTGGTAACTAAGACCTTTAAGTCATGTCTTATTTTAATTTAAAAATAAGAATTATTTTTATGAAAAATGATAATATGGAGTGAAATGAAATGAAAATGATTAATTTGAGACGTTAATCAACTGGGATGAAATTAAATGAAATGAGATTGATATGGAATGAAATATAATCTTAGTAAAATGGTGGTCATTTACTATGATTTTTTCAGTGGACTTTTTGGGAGGATCCCGAGAAGTTGCGTCCAGCGGCTTTGTTTCATTTTCCCACATTTGTGCACTTTCACAGATATTAAACAGTTAATAAACCACCTTTATTACACATTTAAACCTGAAGAAACACTAAATAGACAAAATGAAACAAATCACATAACTTCACTCCTCGCATTCCCGCCAAAAATTCCCGAAAAAAATATAAAAACACTCTTGTCACAGGCTATCGGAATTTCCCAAATACTTCAAAAGCAGGAAGAAGGTTTTGGTATCCAGTTCGTTGTTCCTGGCCCAAAACGACGGCTACACACGATGACGCGATCTAGTCCCGTCAATTATGCCAATAAAATTAAAAATAATAATGCATCTCTAAGAATATATATAAGACTTAGTTACCGAAAAAAAAAGAAAACCACAGACAAATCAATCCATAGACTTAATAGAGCAAATATAACCGGTAATGATCCGTCGGATAACAAAAGACAGTCCTCGAATAATGGGCCCTCGCAGCAAGGGTTTAAAAGCTTTCTTCAATAAATCATTCGGAGCCCCTCCAGCGGACAGCCGCCACAACGCACAGATACAATTACACAACCATTGATATTTTTATTAACAAATGATTTAACGTTTTCGCCTGTCACTGTGTGATTTTTATGGAATATTTTGATCATAAAGATATTTTAAAAGAATTACAGGAATGGGGATGTTCATTTTTAGCATTTTTTTAAACTTGAACGCTAGTTTGTTCCTTTAATATCAGTGTGTAGTTCTAAACTTGACCGCGGTTCACTCGCATATTTAATTCCATTCGCAGTAAATTTAAATAAAATACTAAGGAATGTAATATTTTTATAGGTTTTCAAGAGTCAGTATTATTAAAAGTTTTTACCCGCACCTTTACTCGTGGTAATTTGGAAAAAAATGTTTCGAGAAATATGATTTTTTTCTGAATGAAAAGGGCGCTATGTCCTTTTATTCCTGACAACGTTTAAGCAAGTTTTCATGATGATCGGCTCAGTAGCTAATACGTGAAAGCGCACCAAACACCACTTCGATAAAGCGGTACGACATGAGAATCCTCTCATCGTGGCCGCCGGAAATTACAGAGCCGATTCTGCGGACCAAATGGCAAACACGTCGACGTCGCCCAAAACACGTCATTTTGAATCCTCCTCACTGTCACCACAATCCACTAACGGTGCTTTTAGGTACCCCAAGCTCGTTCTTGTCGAACCCGTCTTGCGACGAAGAGCTCGGCGAGTAAATTAACCCACAGACACGGCCCACTGAGTTTCTCGCCGGATCTTCTCAGAGGGTCGCGTTTCCGATCCGGTGGTGGTGGATTCTGCGAAGCACGGCTCTTGCTAGAGTTCGTGTTAGCAACGTCGTCAGGTTTCAGCCCCGTGAGCCCACCTACTAGTTAAGGTTACGCTGATGTGATCTCTCTAGACCATCAGATTAGGTAGGAAAAAAAATAAGCGAAATATGTATAAAAATATATCACAAGAATACGGAAATTTTATACGAGAGCGATGCTTTAGAAATTATATGTATCGTTTATTTATTCTATTTATAAGTAGCTTTACCTACATAATTGTTAGATAACCTATTATATATACTTAGTCTGGCCATAAATACTGATACAATTAAAAATTAAAAAAAAATTCTATTGCAAATAACATTTAGGGCAGTGTAATGCAGTGTAATGAAGTGTAATATGGATGCAAAATCTGAAGTAAATAAATAAAATAAAATAAAAAATTAATTTATTACTTTTACAGTGTGTTAGTTTAATACAAAAATATAAAACAATTTAAAGTATAAAAAGCTCATTCGAAGTGATCTCCATTGGCTGCAATACAGTCCTTTAAACGTTGAGGCCAGTTATCAATAGAAGCACGCACTCTTTCCATGGGAAAAATTTTCACTGCCAATCGTACGGATTGTTTTAGGGACTCCAAATTATCATGGCGTTTAGAGCAAGCCGTACTCTCTAAAACTGACCATAAATCATAATCCAGCGGATTAAGATCGGGACTAGACGACGGCCAGTCTTCAGCTCAGATGAAGTCCGAAACGTTCGTTTCCAACCAAGACTGCGTAGACCGAGCTTTATGACCTGGCGCCGAGTCTTGCTGGAAGGACCATTCTTGATTATTGAACATGGTGTTG